CTCCAGCTCTAAAAATATTCTAGCTGCTATTTTTTTTTTAATTTTTATTTATTTACTTCTTGGCCGCATCTTGCGGCATGTGGGATCTTAGTTTCCGGACCAGGGATTGAACCCGCACCCCCTGCAGTGGAAGCACGGAGTCTGCTTCCACTGGACCGCCAGGGAAGGCCCTTTAGCTGTTATTCTTAACTGGACTTCTGGCCCCAGCTTCATCTCAGCCTGGTGAGTACCCAAGCTTTTTCTAGCACAAAGACCTAGAGTCACTATGTGTTCAACTTGCTTTCACAACACACCTCACTCTTCCCAATTCCCATTCAGAGAAGTAGGCAAAGAATCCAAGACATGAAGACATCTCCCCAGTACAAAGATGCATTTTCATTTAAAAATTACTGAGCACAGAATTATACAACCTTAAGGGTTGAAAAGGCCCTGGACACCATCCAATTCTACCTTTCATCTATTGTAGGAATTGCTTCAATCTCTGGACAGTGTATTTGTGGCCTAGAATGTTAAGATGGGGGGGAAAAAAGTAAAGGCTCTTTGATTTGAATGTTAAGTAATTCTGAGTATAGCTTTAAAAAGTTTCTTGATTCAATTAAAAAAAAGGTGGGGTCATGGAGGGTTAAATTAGGAGTTTGGGATTAGCAGATACAAACTACTATATATACAATAGATAAACAACAAGGTCCTACTGTATAGCACAAGAACTGTATTCAGTATCCTGTAATAAACCATAATGGGAAAGAATATGAAAAGGATATGTATATATATATATGTATAACTGAATTACTTTGCTGTACACCAGAAACGAATGCATTATAAATCAACTATACTTCAATAAAACAATTTCTTTTAATTTGAAAAGTTGTTTGACAGTACATAGATCTGGTAGGTAACATGGTTTGACAGAAGTAGATCAAAAGTAATCCGCACCATTTGCCTACTTTCCACTACTTCACTGTCTCTTGCTACATAATTTCCCAGTTATAAGAAGCTAAATTTGTTACCAATAATTTTAAATGTCTTTTGTGAATTCCCTGGCAGTCCAGTGGTTAGGACTTGGTGCTTTCACTGCCAGGGGCCTGGGTTCAATCCCTGGTTGGGGAACTAAGATCCCACAAGCCATGCAGCGCAGCCAAAAAAAAATTTTTTTTAATTAAATAAAAATGTCTTTTAAAAGATGTGAGCTACTAAAAATACCTGTTACTTTTGGGCCCAAAATTGAACAGATTTTTAGCTCCTAAAGATCTTTTTAAAGTAAGACATAGATGGACAGAGATGCTTTATCCAGTCATTCACTCAACAAATTAACAGTAGGGGTCTACTCTATGCTGGATGCTGTGCTGGGCACCAGGAAGACAGAGAAAGCAGAAAAGACATCCTATTCTAAGGGAGCTTTGTTTACAGAAGAGACAGAGAATTACAAATTGAGAAAAGTGCTAGAAAGGCAAAGTACAGGATGCTATAAAAACGTGTAACAGGGAAAACTGATCCAGCCTGCGAATTCAAAGAAGGACATACTGAGGAAGTGATGTTTAAACTTAGATCTGAATGGTAGCCATTTGCATTTATGTAAAAACAGATCTCCATAAAATGAAAGGGTTGGTACAATAAGCCCAGCACCTTTGGCATCTTTATCCTAAAACCACCTCTTTTTTAAAAAGAGGAAAGCAAAGTATGCTATAAAGAGATCTGAAAGCTAGTAGCTGAAAGTTCTTTGGGAGGAGGGGCAGTGTCTCACTCATCTTTGGTTACCCCACATCCCCTTGGTAGTCACTCAAATCTTTGCTGAAATGCTGAGTTCACCTCCATATTAAATCAATGTTCATATTATTTTTAGCTCAGCAAAACAAATTCACAAAACTAGATGTCCTCACACAAGAAACCCTACTCCAAACTTCAGTTTTGAAAAGAAGATGCGTGATGAATTGGGAGACTGGGATTGACATATATACACTAATATGTATAAAATGGATAACTAATAAGAACCTGCTGTATAAAAAAATAAATAAAATTAAATTAAAAAAAGAAAAGAAAAAGAAAAGAAGATGCTTTCATCTACCTCACAGGATTGCAAGATTCAATGAGATAACATAGGGTAAAACGCTGGGGTAAATTCTGAAGTGCTTGGAGTATACGGTTATCTGTGTAATCAAAAAGCTAGATCAGTCTCTTCTAAGACAGTTCTTTAGATTCAGTTGTGCTTCTTTACAATGAATTCTTTACCATGAGAAAGAAACTGCATCACAGGTTTGCACACGCTCTCTAGCCTTGGCTTTCTCTGAAGGGTGAGACTCCATAAACTGAAGGTGCCTTCTAGCTCTAGAAACTGACCTGTAAGTATTTTAAAGGGACGAAGATTACACTCCTTAGCTTAGATTTTAGACTATCTCCTAAATCTGGGATTAAGAGATACAAACTATTATGTATAAGATAGACAAGCAACAAGGATATATTGCATAAAATGGGGAATTATAGCCATTATCTTATACATTTAATGGAGTATAATCTGTAAAAATACTGAATCATCATGCTGTACACCTGAAACTAATATCATATTGTAAATCAACTATACTTTAATAAAAGAATAAAAAGACCTAGTTTCCACTCATTTCACATGCAGATTTAAGTTGAATGTATTCATCCAATTTAAACCTTCTGAATGTTCTAAATAATCTGATTAATTGTTGTAAAACTTTATATGCCCCAAAGAAAAAAAAATTTTAAAGAGTCAAAACGACCAAATGTCAAAAACGGATTTATAACTCCTAACCCCAAAAAGTAAAATTTGGTTTTTTGATTAAGGAAAAGTATCTGCTCTGTTTTAAAATCAGAAAAAAAGTCACAAAAACAATCACTTGTATTCAGAAATAACAAAAAATAAATGCAAACTCATTCATGGAAAACGAATTTTTTAAAAAATTACAGTGGCTAGGAGACAGTTGAAATGTCCACCATATAATGCAAATATATCTACAAGATACTACCATGAAACTTTACAAAAAAGTTAATGTGCTCAAGTAAATTATGCAGCTGAAGGCAAATCTACATGTTTAAGATTTGTCTTGTTTAAAATAATTTTTTGCTGTAGCTTTGAAAAGCTCTCCTAGTTTATTCTTCATTCAATAGTATCCCACTAAAAGAGGACACTATTATGATACTTCCAGGCAAGAGACGTGTTTTTATGATGCAAACCAGAGCTACCAGATCCAGATAAGGTTTGCCACTAGAATGCTTCAGAAATAATATACTTTAAAAGAAAACTTGTTTAAAAAGGTAACACCTACACTAGTAATCATTAATATATTTAGTTTTTATGCACTTTTAAATTTTTATGTAAATCCATTTAATAACTTAAAATTTTAAACTTGTCACCAGAGAAAAAGCTGATCCTTTCAGTCCTTGTATCAATGTCAAGATAGCAGCTCCTGTTTGACAGATGCTCTTAATGACTATTTTAACTATATTTTACATCTACTGAGTGTTTCGGGGCTTTAAAGTTCATTACAGTCATTATGCTATTAATCACAACGGGTGCATCGCAATATTCTCTTTCTAAAGAGCTGCAGATAGAAGTTAAGCAACTCCTCCAAGGTCACAGAACAAGTCAGTGACAAAGTTGGGGATAGGACTAAAACTTCAGCTCCTAGACTACTAATTACTTCACACTTTTCCAATTCCGAAAAAGTAAAGTCAAGAGATTTACTTTCAGTAATTTATATCAAGATACCTCAAACACAGTACACTTATCCTAAACACTAACAAAAAGACTCACCTCGAACAAACGAGACGACTTGTTACATTCAGACACCACCGTCACGTCCCTAGTTCTTGTAACCAAGCAAAAACCTACTGCTTCTGGATATAGTAAATCCTGGAAAATGTCCACTCTTCAATATACACAATTTATTTTCACACTAACTATTTATAAATTAATCTGTTATCACCTTCTCCCACGTCCAGGTAGTGGAGGGCATTAATCTCCTCACTCTTTCAAGAGTCAACTCAAAGACCACATATCTCAGAAGTAAGCAGTTCTCAATGAGAACAAAGTTACCTAGCCAATGAAAGAACAGCTCTAATAAGTTGCTTCTTTTAAAGAGATATTTTTAAAGGATGATTACATGCTTGACAGCATTCCTGTTAAATCGCCCGCCAAGAATAATGGTTCTTGTGAAGTAGCTTTTAAGGCATATCCCTCCCTGTTTGTGACACAGTCTGACTTGTTGGACAAGACTGATCTGGGCACGCTCACACACAACCCCTATGAACCAGCCCAGTCCACTGGAAACATCGTTTGGACCTCTTAACTGTAGTAGTACTCAGCCCTTCCCATACCTATAAGGGACAGAAGAACCCTCTTTAACATTCTCTCAGGAGAAGGTTCCCTTCGAGGAGGCAGTGACAGCCGTCCTCCCTCGGATGTTTTCGGAAACAAAGTGTTAACACCAGAAGGAGAGGCTCCTAGGAAGTGTCAGTGTGGCAGCAGGTGGAGTAGCCCTTCGTGCCGAGCAGGTCCTTTCTGACCTAGTCTCAAGTCCTCCGCTTCCCAGACCCGGTTCCGCCTTACAGATTTTCCCAAGCCGCCCCGCGCCCCTGGTCTCTAACCCAGAGCGAGACTCTCCACCCTCCTGGGAGGCGAGGCGGTCTCAGCAGACCAGACGGCCACCCCACCTCTTCCGGGGACTCGCAGGCCCGCTCCCGGGCCGTGTCAGAGCCTGACGGACCCGCAGGGGCGGCAGCCGGCCCTTTCTGGGGCCTCCCAGCCGGAGCCCCGCGCCCCGCGGTCCCGTTCCACCGCCTCCCCCCGAAACACCACCGCCACCACCCTCCTCACTCCCGAATCCCCCTTCCTCAGGAGCACTCCAGTGGAGTTACCGGCCCACTCAAAAGTAAGAGCGACGGCCAGCCCATCGGTCACCCTGGCCCCCGCTGTCACCGCCCTGCTCCTGGCCTCTGCTCACGCCGCTGGCGAGCCCCGGTGACGCCCGGGTCGGTACCTTGCGGACCCCCTTGTAGATATAGAAGTAGAGCTCCCGGCCCACATTGAAGCAGAGGCGGTCGCCGTTGCCAGACTGGTCGTTGAGGTTTACGAAGGAGACGCGGACAGGGTTGGATCCCTGCGAGTTGAAGGGCACCCGGTTGGGCCGGCTGTACTCCGAGTGCGGCAGCAGCTTGTACAGACCTTCCCGGGTGGTGAATTGGGTCTTAATCTCGTTCATCTCCTTCCCTCCTCCCTCCGTCGCCATCTTGGAAAGCAGCGTTCATCCTGCCCTAAGTGCCCGGATCACGCCCACCGCGCAGGCGCCGTCCCGGGCTCTCGCCCTCCCCCCGCCCCTTCCTCCTGGCCCCTCCCACCCGTGAGCCGGCCCCGCGGAGGCCGGCGAGGAGAAGGGGCGGGCTTGTTTACGGCCCGACTGCGCAGGCGTGCTCACCTGGCGCGCTCCACGCTGCAGGGTGTCTGCAGGCTCCTCCCGCGGGCGGGGCCTCCGGGCCACCCCGCTGCGGCGCAGGTGTTGCTGTCCGGGGTCCGAGGGCTGCCTAGTGGTGCCGCCTACTCCGCCGCCCGGCGGGCTGAGCCGGCAAGGGGAAGCCGCAGCGGGCTGCGGTCCGCGCCGCTGAAGGGAGCTCGCGGCGGCCTCCTCGGCTGCCTCGTGCCCTGTCCTGAAAGGTCCCGGGACCCCGAGGAGCGGAGGAGAGAGCCGCCTCTAACAACGCAGATTCTGGGTCAGCACGTGGGGTGCCGTGAACCGAGCGCTCAAGCCCCAGTGTTACACCCGCAGGAGGGTGCGGGGGAGCCCCGAGTCCGGGAGAGGGCCGGTCCCCCTGTTCTGGGGTCTCCCCTCGGCCACCCCGCACAGTCGTCTGGATGCCCGGGTCAGGAAACCCCTGTGCACCTCCCCGAGTCATTTTCCGAGAAGGTACTGAAGGACCTCAGTTTTCCGCTTCACCATGTTTTGTTTTGTTTTGTTTTTAAGGTAGGGTGCAGGGGGAGAGGAGCGTATAGATTACACAGCATCTGTGTTTGCAAGTCAAATATCTGAATACCTATCTGTAGTGAGCATTGGCTAATTTTAAGGAAAGCAGGTTGTGTTGGCGCTTCTGTTTCTTAAGTTTGTCTCCACCAGGTGTTTAGAGAAGGGAGGGTCGGGTCAGGTCGGGAAATGGCTTTGGGAACCAGAGGCTGAATCTAAGCATGATTCGCTTCTCTTGCTCAACAGTTTATGAAGAGTTCTTAGTGAAGTTTGAGGCTGTTGATTTTTTTTTTTTTAAGGCTCAAGTGGAATCTGCAGAATTGTTCACTAGGCATAGTTGTGTGGATATACTGTACTAGGTCTAGATTGTAAGGCAGAAAAACAAATTTAAGGCCGGCACACGTGTTGCAGATTAAACAATCACCGTTTTGTAGCTGGGTTTCTTGGCATGTTGCAGTAGAATACGAAAGTTTCTAAAGTGACAGAAACATCCTGATAGAATTTCAGGTGGGGGTGGTGGGGAGCCAACATCTGTTACACCAAGAATGATTTATCCCTCTAAGTACAAATCATAGCTGGAGGGTCACAAAAGAAGTAGAGGGCGGTAGGTTCTAAAGAGGAGTCCGAATCCTAAACATCTTATATACATAAGCAGGTAATGACAGTGGAAACTGTGCCAATGATGTAATAATGCATTTGACAGTAAAATTCTGTATCCTTTGTACATGCTGGCAAAAAAGCAGTGGAGTAAATCCTACTTAAAGAATAGATACCTATGGGCTTCCCTGGTGGCGCAGTTGTTAAGAATCCGTCTGCCAGTGCAGGGGATACGGGTTCAAGCCCTGGTCTGGGAAGATCCCACGTGCCACAGAGCAGTTAAGCTTGTGCACCACAACTACTGAGCCCGCGCGCCTAGAGCCTGTGCTCTGCAACAAGGAAACCACCGCGATCAGCTAAGCCCGTGCCCCACAACTACTTAGCCTGTGCGCCTAGAGCCTGTGCTCCGCAACAAGGAAACCACCGCAATAATCAGACCTCTCACTGCAACGAAGAGGAGCCCCGCCCGCAACTAGAGAAAGCCTGTGCGCATCAACGAAGACCCAACGCAGCCAAAATTAATACATAAGTAAACTTTTAAAAAAGAATAGATACCTAAAACACCTAAAATTTTGTGTTACAGTTGTTTTGATGTTATCTGTCTTCTGCTAAAGGTCAAAAAGATATCAGAAGCCTTTTAAAATGACCAGGATGTATTCTGCGGTCCCATGGATTTATTCAAATTTCCTATAACCATGTTATTTTACATTGGAAATGTGTATACTCTCCTTGAGGGATAGTGACATCCTGAATCATCTAAAAGTAAGTCAGCTGTGTTCCCTAGTTATCAAGGAGAAAAAAGCGTAATAATACATTTTGGAGGGAAAAAAAAAACTCAGCAAGCAAAAATTAAAACATAAAAATTAGGGCTTCCCTGGTGGCACAGTGGTTGAGAGTCCGCCTGCCGACGCAGGGTACACGGGTTCGTGCCCCGGTCCAGGAAGATCCCACATGCCGCGGAGCGGCTGGGCCTGTGAGCCATGACCGCTGAGCCTGCGCGTCCGGAGCCTGTGCTCGGCAACGGGAGAGGCCACAACAGTGAGAGGCCCACGTACCGCAAAAATATAAAAATTATATTAGCAGCCCTCAAGTTAACTACCAACTTTCAATTACCCATAATACCTGTATACCTTAGTCTTCTCTTAAGGTTTTATTCTACATAAATTTAACATTTTACTGAGATCACAGTAATAATAGGCTGTTCACTTCGTCCTATCCAAAGCCTTTGAATAATCTCTGTTCTTAATACTTTTTCTCTTGTCATTTTCCCCCCCACACTCATAGATTGAATAAATAACACCAAATTTATATAACTGGGCCTGACCTAAAGTTTATTTCTGATTTTCAGTTTCAAACCAGGCATTTCTACATGGATTCGTGCCTCAAATTCATCCGCCTCTAAACCTTATCAGTTCCCTTTCCACATCTTCAAAGTTGAATCATTATAGCTTCATGAGTATTTCCTTAATTTCACTTTTTTCTCTCAACTTTCATCCTATAAACAACTACCAAATTAATTTTCTTAAAACAATGCTTTAGACATTACATTCTTTTGCCCAAACACTCTCAAAGACTTTGAATATCCATGTTATTTAAGTCATACACCAAGCAATTCTCAGCCTGTCCTTACGTTTTGCATGAATCCTCCATTCCAGTCAGACTGTTCTGCCATCACCCTTAGCCCTTTCTCTTGCTTGAAAAGACCCTCCTCTTGTTTCCTCTTCATAGCCTATTCTTTAAGAACTAGTTTGAGTCCCATCTTCACCAAGCCTTTCCCAAGCCCTGGGTGATAAAACAATCCTTGAAACCAAGGGTTCTCCATTCAGGATTCATAGCATCAGGGAGTGTTTGAACCTCTTGTAATAGTATTCAAAATTTTGTGTACATATTCATTATATCATCGGAGTCTATAGCTTTCATCAGATTTTCAAAGAGGTGTGACCACCTTCCTCCCAAATTTAAAAATTACCACTCTAAACTTCTTTGGCATTTCTCTGAGCTTTCATTTGTCCTGTGTACTATACTGAAATGTTATTTTCTTTTGGTACTTATCAACATATGCTAATTGTCTTGTATTGATGTTTATCTTTTAGGATGCACTGCTGCCTTTCAGCAAGATTGTTATGCACACTCAAACATATGAGGGACCTTGTTAAAATTCTTTTGTCTCCTCAAATATGTATTTGAGCGCCTACATATGCCACTCTGTTGTAGCCTTCGGGATACATCAGAAAACATAAATCCCTCACTCATGGAGTTTATATTCTTGTAAGGAGAAGACAGAAGATAAACAATCAACATGAATAAGTAAATCATGCCATGATTGTGCTAGGAAAAAGAAGTAGAGCGAGATAAGGGGGTTGGGAGTGTGCTGACTAGCTCGCAGTTTAAAATGTGGTGGCCAAGATAAGTCTCCTTGAGAGGTGACATTTCAGCAAAGACTTGAAAGAGGTGACGGAGTGGGCCATGGGAAGATCTGGGGAAAGAGCTGACCAAGCAGAGGAAAAAGCCCTCCAGGGCGCCCAAGGCAGGAGTGTGCATAGCATGTTAAGGAATCGCGAGACAGCCAGTGTGGCTAGAGCAGAGTGAGCAGGGAAGCCACTGCAGGGTTTAAGAATCCATTTGTGGACTTCCCTGGTGGTGCAGTGGTTAAGAATCCTCCTGCCGATCCAGGGAATACGGGTTCGAGCCCTGGTCCGGGAAGATCCCACAAGCCGCGGAGCAACTAAGCCCGTGCACCACAACTACTGAGCCCGTGTGCCACAACTACTGAGGCCCACACACCTAGAGCCCCTGCTCCACAACAAGAGAAGCCACAGCAATGAGAAGCCCGCGCACCGCAACGAAGAGTAGCCCCCCCTCGCCGCAACTAGAGAAGGCCCGCGCGCAGCAATGGAGACCCAACGAAGCCAAAAATAAAATAAATAAAAAAGAATCCATTTGTTTGCTGGCTTGAGTGTAGACTAAAGGAGGCAAGAGTGGATGGGGAATCCACTTCAGAGGTTAGCGGTGTTCACCCAGGCCAAGGAGGATGGAGGCTTGCTCAGGGAGTGGTAGCAGTTGAGGATAAGAAAGTCTAAAGAAGGAATTCCCTGGCCGTCCAGTGGTTAGGACTCTGAGCTTCACTGCCAGGTTCGATCCCTGGTCGGGGAACTAAAATCTCACAAGCCACACAGTGCAGGGCGCCCCCCGCGCCCCCAGAAAAAGGGCTAGAGAATTGTTTTCTGAAGGTAAAGCCAAAGCCAATGGAATTTCCCAGCAGACCTCGTGGGAGAAATGGGGGAGTCAAGAATGACTCCACAATACGCATGAGCAGCTGGAGGATAGAAGTGCCGTGAACTGAGATGAAAAGGCTGGAGAAGAGTAGGTCTTGAAAGGAGGACCAGGAGTTCAGTGTTGAGCGCGTTGGGTGTGGAGCGTCTATTAGGCATTTACAGGAGATGTCGGGAGGCAGTTGAATATTCGGGTCTGGAGAGAAGTCTGGCCCGCCGGCATGTATTTGGCAGACCTTAGCTGATGGTCTCTAAAGCCTGGATCTGGTCACCAAGGGAGCAAGTGGGAACAGTGGGACAATCCAGGAGGTGGAGGAGAAGAGGAGGAATATTTGTTGATGAAAAAATACGATTTTTTTGCAGCTTAGTACATACGGAGTATTCACTTCAGACCAAACTTACTGTTTTTCTGATTCAGAGATTAATTCATTAAGATGCTGAAAAGCTTTTTTTTTTTAACCTTGAAGAGAAATAGTGTTTGCCACAGTGACCTTATAAA